AAACATTGAGAATACAATACTCTCTCTCTCTCTCTTTTAAGAAAGATGGTTAGATTTTCTTAAGAAAGTCATCAAAGATAACTAGCGTCTCCTTTAGAAAGTACTCTAGATAAACCCAAGGATGCAAGAACAACATCACGTACTATTGGGAAATCTCAGAAAATATATATTTTTGTCAGTCTTATTTTCTCTTTCTATCATGACCTTTAGAATTTTACCTTTATCAGTGTGCTTAACCCTTTTGCCTTTAGAGTAATTAGCGAAATTTGATTTCCCTTTTAAATTTGGTACATGTTTGTGTCACATAGACGTTTGACAACACCATCAAATATCTTCACTTAGGTTGTTCTTATCCTTGCGGTTCTTCACAAGACATTATAATGTTAGTAATGCTATAGAAAATCAAAAGGCATTTATCCTATATTGGGAAGGGATGTACTTTTGGTAAGGTATGTAAAAGACTGCCTTTTCCCTCTCACATTAAATAGGAAAAGATAACTCTCTCCTATACGCTCGTCACTATCGGTTCAATTCGATTCAGTTCGTGGTCATGATCATGGTCGTGGTAATTACGTGTCTTTCTTCTTGCAAAAATTATAAGTTTTACTTTGATTTGAAGATTTTGACATGACCTTGATTTTACGTCCATAATTGTGTTATGCTTTTCTTTCATGGTTGTTACTGGTCGATGCATACACTACGAGACCTTCTACTTGAGACTTTGATCTAACTGCAAAATCCTTCATTTTATCCTAAGAGTGCATTTTATCATACACTTTTCCAAGAGTAAATCGACTATACATGATAATGTCTCTAAAGGTTGAGAAAGAAAGATGCATTGAACATAGGAGTTTATGTATTATTGGTCGTACTTCACACTCGTGGTCTCCAGGTCAGAGATGATCTTGAATGTAGTCAGATGATTTTCAAGTAACGAATCTACTACCAACTTCTGTGAGTAGACATTATTTCAAGTACAACTTATTGGTATAACACCACAAATTCTAGGTAGTAGTTTTGAGTTTATCCGAGAGGCATGTGGAGTTGCAATTAAAGTCATTGGGTCAAGTTTGGGCTTAATTAAGTTGGAATTGAGTCCAAAAAGTTATAAAAAGAGGATTTTTGAATATAAGGAAAAATACGAATGACCAAAAGTGTAATTTCCCATTTGTGAAAAAATGAGAGCTTTATATCTTCCATCTTCTTCTCTTCCTTTCATTCTTTCTTATTTTTTCTCCTCCTTTCCTCTCTAAGTGCCATAGCTAAATGTGAGTCCTTTGAGCCATTTCAGGCCGCGTTTGATGAAAGGAAGATATGAAGACATTGATTCACCTTATAGAACAAGGCCAGGTTGTTTGATCAGCACTGGGAATTGAATTATATATTTTCTCGGGAAAATTTCCTGTGAATTTTCTTTTTTTACTTTCATTACAAATACAATTTATACGAGTTTAATTTCATTCGGAAGAAGAAGAGAGTTGTATATTTCCTTTGTAAATCATTAGCAGTAAAGATATAACTCGATTTTGTTGGTTTATTAACCTCATATTTTCCATGTCTGAGTTATTTATTATTTTTCTCTTAAACAACAACAACAACAACAACAAAATCCTATTCCCATATGCAAATGGGTAAGGGGGAGGTAGGGTAGTAGGCTGCCCCCAATACCAGGTTGAGAGCAACTTCCGTGGAAGACCTCCAGCAGTTAGAAAAATTAAAAGTAAAGATAGAAATGCCATGCATGTATAAATAAATAAATAGTTGAGTAGTCTTCATATGCAGTCTACATATGTGCGTCTGAAATGTGAAGTAATCCCTGCAAATAAATCCCTGCATAAAAATCTCTGCATATAGACAGAAACGTAAGACTCGACTAATAATTAAAAAAGATCAAAACTTGAAGTAAAGGATACACAAAATTCAACGATAGCAAGCAACGAGAAAGAATAAAGTCAAATGTGTTAAAACCTAAACTAAAGCAACACTACTCCACTACCGTAGTTCTAAGCCTTCATAAATTCCAATGACAGAAACGTATAAAAAGAAGAAGTCATGGAAATTACTACAAATGCATAAAAAGAAGACATATATGATATACCATATGGATGTGATATGTACTACTCAATTACCCTGATCTTAAGTCTTCATACTTTCCTATCAGAGGTCATGTCCTCAGTAAGGGCTAAATCCTTTAAATCAAATCTCAAGCAGTCTTCCCATTTCCGTCTTGGTCATCCTCTTCTTCTGGCACCGTCGACTGTAATCGACTCCACCCTCCTGACCGCATCTGATGGTTGTCGCCTAAGGACATGCCCAAACCACCGTAGTATTCCCTCCCTCAATTTTTCGGGTATAGGCACCACCCCCAAGGACATCCTAATAGCAGAGTTTGGTGTCATGTCCCACAGAGTCCTACCACATGCCCATCGAAGCATTCTCATTTCTGCGGCCTCCATCCTCCTTACGTGATCCTTCTTGATTGCCCAACATTCTGATCCATACAGCAACGCTGGTCTTATTGCCATTCTATAAAATTTTCTCTTAAGTTTTAGAGGCACCTTCTTGTCACACAAAACTCCGGTAGTAGCCCTCCACTTTAGCCATCCCGCCTTTATACGGTGTGTAACGTCATCATCCACACCCCCATCTTTATGTATCATAGACCCTAGGTACTTGAAACAATCCTTTGAGGGGAGAACGTGTCCTTCTATGCATACTTCTACATCTTCATCGTTTTGGTTCCCACTAAAGTTTGAACATAAATACTCAGTCTTTTCAATATTGATCACTAAACCTTTTTCTTCCAAAGTAGTCTTCCAGGTAGCCAGTCTACTATTCAGCTCAGTCCTTGTTTCAGCAACTAGAACAATGTCGTCAGCGAAAAGCATACACCATGGGACACCGTCTGGTGTCGCACAGTACATGTCGTCCATAATCAAGGCGAAGATGTAAGGGCTAAGAGCCGACCCCTGGTGGAGTCCGATTTCCACCGAGAATGGCGCGGTGTCGCCAACTGTAGTCCTGACGTATGAAGTAGTTCTACAGTACATATCACGAATCGCCCGGATATAAGCAGTTGGGATCCGTCTCGTTTCCAATGTCTTCCAGATCGTATCGTGGGGAGCGCTATCATACGCCTTCTCAAGGTCAATGAATGCCATGTGAAGATCTCTATTTTTTTCCCCATTTGACATTTTGGTAGTCTCTAAAATAATATTAAAGATATTGATTAACCACTTAACTCCCTCTCCTCCTAGGGCCAACCATACAGTGATAGGAATTTGATCTGGACCGACAGCTTTGTCATTCCCTATCTTTCTAAAAGCCATTTTGACTTTAATAAATTATAGTTGGGAGTTTGAATTCAATAAATTATATATGAATAAAGAATTATAGTTGGGAGTTTGAATTAAATAAATTATATTAAAAAATTAGTTTTTTAATATATAGTGTATAATACTATTATTTCGGAAGATATCAACTCCATGGTGGTACTGTAAGCTCTGGCATATTTGTCTCGTTCCATATCTAGAGAGCATTTTGTGATTTTTTAGGTGAAATATATTCAAATTTTAATATATTTGTCGTTATTCCGCATGTATTAAGGTAGAATATATTCATCCTAGATTTAATAAAAAGAATTAATAAATTATTTTCCTTAAAAACAAAAATCAATTTCTAGAAGACGAAAGGATAAAGTGTAAAAATGATCCCCTAATTATAAGATGTTATTTTGTTGAGTCCCCGAATATTGAAAGTAACAAAATAGTTCATCGATTATATGGTGATGTTTTGTTGAGTCATTCAATTATTAGAAGTTACAAAATGATCACTTGATTATTCATATGTTGCAAGCTTGTCCTTTTTCGTTAAAAATATTGACAACAGTTTGAGCTGGATGTTAACCTGCTAGTTTAACATATGATAAAATCTGATCCTAGAACCATTTGAGTTGTATTTTATGGATTGATTCTCTGTTTTCATTATGTCATCAAGCCAGTACTTGAAATATTATTTTATCAAACCAATGCTTGAAAGCAATGGTGTCAGTGCACATCATTAAAATATGATTTTATCATATCACAATCAACATGTTAACATCTAACTCAGACTGTTATTAATTTTTTTAGGGAAAATGATGAATTTAAAACATATGAATAGTTGAGTGACCATTTTTTTCACTTTTAATAATTGAAAGACTCAACAAAAATATTGTCCTATATTCGAAAGACTAATTTATAAATTTTAATAGTCGAACAACTCAACAAAGTATCTTTTTATAGTGGGGAACATTTGTATACTTTACCACCCAAAAAAAACTACTTTCCATCAAATAAAAACTTAAAAGAAACTTAAATGAAATTATTTTATCATAAGTAAACAGATACCAGGAGTATGAACGTTTAAAAATAACAATCATTCCTGTAACCATTAAGGTAGTTTAATTCGTGCATAGATTATCTTATATTTTTTAAATATCAAAATATTGATTTATCAATCAATGAAACTATATACACATTGATTTAGTTTAGTTAAGTTGATATCGTTATCACTATATTATTCAAAAAAATATATACAATTGATCATTTTTAAATATTTAATATTCTCCAATTTTTGAACGAGGAAAGGCCTAAATAATACAAAATATTATATAAAAAACAAATCTTTTAAATCCCAGATTCTAACACTAAAAATGTCAAGGATATATACGTTCAATATCAAATGACCGAAAGTAATTACAAACATATACTATTTATTTCATATTAATAAATAAAATAAAATATTATCGAAACCAAAACTGATCAAACTGAACCGTATAAAACAATAAAATCGTTTTAGTTGGTGTAACCGAATATTGCTAACCCTACTAAAAGTCTTACCTGTAATTATCTTCTTCCTCTTTCGTACTGTTTCTCAGTAACCAAACAATCATTGAGAATCAAAATGCACAACCATGTGCAAATATAAAGCAAAACCAGAAGATTCAAAGGGAAATTTCTCAACAAAAAATAAACGGTAAATTAGCATTGATTATAATGAAAACAAAAGTCAATTCAAAACTAGGCACATTCCACTCATCAAAACTTACTGATACGATTTTCAAAAAACAAAAAAAAATACCGATACGAAGGAACTAAAATATTCAATTTCGACCTAGTTCATCTTACTAATCAGGTCATTGATTTCATCTTCACGGTTTCCGGTATCTCCGCCTTCTTTGTATGGCTGTTTCTTCCCTTTGATCAACTCATCTTCTGTCTTGCTCAGCATCAGAGGTCCCATGAAATGAACAACCTCCTTGAAATGTGGACCGACATTCGAGATTTCGTGTACAATATCTTCTATGCATATAATTCCATACTTCTCCAAAGTCTGAAAAAGGAGTTTTAGTTGCAAGCATTAAGAACCATGGGGTTTAGGAAAAAGTAAAAGCCAAAACTTCTTACTGGACTCGGTTATGACAACTAATATACCTGTTCGATGATGTTGTTATCCGTCAGAGGTACTGCTTTCTTGTCAATCCTTGCATATCCCTTCTTGTAAATCAGTTCCTTGACGTTCTTAAGATTAGGATATCTGCATAAAACAATCCTTGGTAATTAAAACCGAAGCTCGTCTATAAATGGCAACTTAAAAAGAAACAAAAATAAAAGAACTGAGCTTTTTAGATGATCCCAGAACTGCGAAACAATGGAAAACTAACAGAATCCTTGTAAGTTGCTTTAGATTATAGCTAATGAAGGTTCAGCCATATGCCTACAACCCTTCTAAAACCTCTAAAAATCCCTAAAGGAAAGCTTGTCCAATACATGACAGTCACTAATTTCAAAAATGCCAAATAACTTGAGGATCATTTGCATGAACTACAAAAATACGGAGGATAATTTGACAAATTCGTCAAGCATAAGCAACGGTTACACATGCCCTATAAGAAGTTGAAGGCAATTAAAGTAGGCACTAATAAAAGAAAATAAGCATATACCAGAGGAAGAAAGTCATCAACACACATAGAGAAGCACATTAAAATTTATATAAGTTCTTACAAAATTAGATTCACCACAATACATTTACCCGTAAAAAGAAAAAGGGGAACTTGAAAGAAAGAAAAGTTGCCTCCATACCCGTATGTGACATACGGCTCCACCTTCTGCAGCATCTCCATCACACCCTCAGTTGCCTTCACAAAGACACCACTGAAAACTTTCCTCAATCTCAGCCTGTACAAGATGTTCCTAGTTTTTGGATGCATATCATTTTTGCTGCAACAAAGGGGAAAAAATCAGACTGAATTTTGGAAGCAAAAATATTGAACAAGAACAAGATGCAAAAGGTCACCAACCCTTGTATACGGATGATGAAAAGTAACTTTGACCTCAGTTTTGGTATCATCGACTTTGGCCTCTTTGCCCTCTGTTTCATTCTGATCAGATCCAACTCCTAAAACCCAAAAATAGATTTAGATTACCATTACCTTAATTAGCTATCTTACTAAGTGAAGAATCAGCAAGGTGTCGGATACAGATAATTCAAGCAAAATGAAGAGTCTGAGAAACATTAGAAAGTAAAACTACAAGGTTCAAGGAGCTGAGCTGATACAGAGCAAAGCTAAGCTCAAATGAGCCTTTTACATTTCATCCTCGAGCTCAGCTTAAAAAACCAGTCAAGCTAAACACAACTTGATTAGGATTAACATTACTCAAGTAGGGAATTTGAAACATAAGTCGAGCTTGAGTTTGGAAACAGATAAAATGAACCAAATCATATGAATACATCCATATCGAATAAAATAATAAAAATCCAAAATCCATGTTAGGAAAAAAAATCCTTGAAACTTGACTCAATTGATTACTCTTACCACCCAGAATTTTGCTCGAGCCCAGTTAGAAAAAAAATCAAGATATAAAAGACTTAAGTAGAATTATCATTACCCAAAAGCAGAACTTGAAACTTGACTCTAAAAAGAGTTAAAACACACAACTTTGAAAACAAGTAAATAAAATCAAAATCCTTGTTGGGCTCGTGAGTTGCTCAATTCATGTATTAAAGATATTCAAACACGACTCAATTTGATCTCTAGATACTCCGATTTAACTTGAACTGCACCTCAAATTCGGAGAAGTGGTGTTTGAGTACTCAACAAGTACTTTCATTCATATGCAGTTACAGACTTACAGTCAATACTAGAATGGATACCATTACAGTTAACAGAATAAATAAAGCAGTAAAGCTTTGAATACAATAATACATAGAATCAAATCAACAGCCGATTAAGGAAACAGGAAGCGTAATCGACATGCTAAAGAGACATAAATTATAGCAACAATTACCTTGTCTCTGAACTCTTTTATGAACTGTTCGGGTCTTTTGATGTCAGAAACATCAGATTGCTTCTTGCTTTTCTTCGCTCCATTTTTACCCAGCTCCAACTGGGTCCTCCTCGTAACAGCTAACTCATCTCTAATTTTCCTTTTCTTCAACACTATCTCCGATACATAAGGTAATGGCTGTCCCTCCTCTCCCGTCATCATCTTCCTGTTTTTCATATAATTCTTTTAGAAAACGGAAATTTTATACATCGGGAAACAAAGAATCAGATGTAAAACAGGGACAACAAGAATCTTACTCAGAAAACGGCGTTAAAATTGGTGGCGCAGCTGAGGAACAACGGCGGCGGCAGCAAATGGGCAGAGTATATACAGGTGGTAGGGGAATTGAAAAGGGGCATAAAAGAATAAAGAAACACATTGTAAACATTTTAGGGCTTTTTCGTTTTTCGGGTCGTGTGGGTGCGTTTGTGTTGGCTGCCCCGACCCGGTTCTCCTTTTGGGAAAATTCTGTGGAGACCCAATATATTATTCATTTCATCGACCTAGTCCTTTGGGCCCAATACCGAGCCCGATATGATTAAATGCATAGCTTATCAATTTTGATTCGAATCCAAACTTAATCTGACACGATTTAATAATAAAAAAATATTAAACATTTTAACTAAAACTAAAAATATAAGAAAATCTAGAATCCACGTTGCTTAAGAAGACATAAGGTTTCATTTGGTTCTAGAAAATATTTTCTATTTTTATTTTTTTGTTTTTGTTTTAAAAAAGTAATTTTCATTTTAAATTTTTTGAAATTAAAAATATGTTTGATTAATATAAATGAAAATTTGAATTCAAAATTAAAATGGTAAAAATTCATGTGGTATCTAAACTTCTAAAATAAAAATAAACAAATAGTTATTAAATAATTAAACTAAACTATAATTATTAAAAAAATTTATTACATAAATTTAACATGTGAGTTATATAAATATATTGTTTCATAATACAAAATTTATTTTAATTTATAATAAAAATATAATGTTAATGTATCTTGGACATCAATTAAATTTAAAAAATTACACAAAATTTTACGGTAAGCAATAGCACAAAAAAGTGTAATTAACATAAAAAAAATATGTTTAGTGGTAATTGAGACCCTCAAACTTTTGGGGAAAATAATTACTATAGTCTCTGAACATTTTTTGCACCAAATATGATCCTTAAACTTAGAAAAAAAATTAACCTAACCCTTTAAATAGAGAAATCAAATGTTGACAGTCACGGCGTTTACATGAGAGTTCATAAACTTACATAGCAATCTACAATTTTTACGTGACAGTTCACAATTCTATTGTAGTAGTACTCGGTGGACGATGATGTGGTAGATGAACTTAATTGATTATTGAAATTTCGAGGACTTATCTAATTAAAAAATATTTTGATTGAAAATATAAAATGTAAACAATTATTAAGATATTCAATACATTAAATATAAAAAATTCTAAAAAATTATATTATTAAAAAAAATTAATTTAAGGACAACATAGAGTGTACAAAAAATTTAGAGACCATATTAATTTTTTTATAAAAGTTTGAGGGTTTCAAATATCATTAAATCAAAATATTATTGTTAGAATGAATTAAACTCGTATAAGTTAAATTAAAAATCGATATCATGTTTTCTTATTTTTCAAATTTTCAAAACAATTTTAATGAAAATACTAAAAACATATTTTTTTATATTTTCATATTTTCACTTATTTTTGTTTTCATTTTTCAAAAATTATTTTATAATTTCACAACCAAAAACGTTTTTTTTTTAACATTTCCTATTTTCTAAGAAAGTGAAAATGAAAATAGCCTACGTTTTTTTTTCTAAAACCAAACAGACTTTAAGATTTTGATTTTAAAATGTATCAAGTTAAATGCTTATACGTTTATTTGATTATTTAATTTTTTTCTATTATTTAATTTTAGAGAAGTGAAAGATGTTAAATATATTTTAAGATCTGCTTAAAGTATGGGGATTGTAAGAATAATTTATGTGTTGTAACAATTTTCACATAATAATTTCTTTGGTTGCTTTTGATAATGAACAATGAGTTTTGTTCTATTTAAAGAGTTTTCATGTAATATTTATATGTTTCATTTATTATATAACACATACATAATTGGGTGCCCAAAGGTCACACTCACAACAATCAATGCCACATCACGGCAACTAAGGTAACTCAGTTACTCACTAGCATAGTTCATCACAATTAAGTGAGGTCATCTCCTCACTCGCTACTATTTCGCTTGTTCTTTCATCTAGAATGTTCTGAAAGGATTTATTAATATGTTTTATTTATTAGTTCATCAAATCACTATATTCTGATTATCAAACATTTAAGGGTATTTTAGTCATTTTTGTCACTATAAAAGCCTCTTAGCGTTTTATGATTTTACGACAAATATTGTTATCGCTACACACTTGGTGTATTATTCACTAACCCAATACTCGACTCAAGTTCACTATTCGATAGCAACTCTCTAGTCGCTCTCGATACACTTTCCCTCAATTTACCCTTGAATTGGAGGAATGACGTATGCATTATGTTTTATCGATGTTCATGTAGTACACGATTCCTCTATCGGACTATTCATGTGGTTCATCATCTCGCTTGCAAGCATATTCTTCGTAGTGATCTATTATTCTCGATTACTCGATACATGTTCAATCTAAGGGTACAAAGGAGTATTCCACTCACTAAGGTTATTTCGGACATAAACCACTCCTAAGAGTGTTTCTGACTACTTTTGACCCTTTAAGACTCTCTCATGCTAAATCTCACTATTATGGGTCATCCCTCATTTTCATGAGCCTTAATGAAGTCAAAATTAATCGTCCAAAACAGGTAGTATTGATACCCTACATGTAGTATCGAATACTCATTAGTCAAGTATCAATACTCCCTTGAGTATCGGTGCCAAAAATAATCTCAGTCCATCCTTAATACTCCCATGCAACATACATGCATATATGGGTTTAAGTATCGATTCTTATGTGTTTCCCCTATAGTGTTGATACTCCCCTTATAAAATGCTCAAAAATCATCTCAGTTTATCCAGTGTCGATACTCAAACCTAGAAATGTCTTATTTAAGCTCAAGAAACACTTAAGAATTCTTTCAAACAGTCTAGTTTTATCCTGAATCAACTTCTAAAACTTAGGGAAGTTATTTAAGGTCATTTAACACTATAAAAACACTATATTTATACAAAAAAAACATTATTTAAGCATGAATCAAACAAAAACTCCAAATATGCTCCATACCCAAATTCCCATTAAACATCATAATTATGGAAGTCATAACAACACAAAAGATTAGAAATACACTACATTAGTTAGAGAATATCAAAATGAAGCTCCTTCCTTAGTCACACTCACTTCCTCTATGATGTGATACTAAACCCACATTTTCTCGACCGAAGACCAATGATTTCCTTAGCATAAAGACTGTTGTAGAAGGGATTAGGGAAGAATTTGAAGGTTAAAATAAATATAAAATAGCACAATGGACTCATGTTTAGCTACAACACTTGGAAAGGATAATAGAGAAAAAAAGATGAAGAAAAAACCAACACCTTAAGAATATGACTCTGATGCCAGACAAGTCATTCCCACGTCACTTTTTTTCTCTCTTAATCTCAAATCATTCCAAATCCCATGAGTAGAGGAAAAAGCAGCCCCTAACAACCCTTGGATCAACACAGCTTTAGGTCAAAGTTGCAAAAAGTCTTCTAGGTCCAAAGGTACGTTTGGGGACAAGATAATAGGAAAAAATATTATTTATAATGAACGCATGAATCCAAGCTACATAAATATAACTATTTTTGAGTAGTAGCTTCATAACCAAGCTAATCATACACGCTTGTTTCCAAGTCTTTAGGTTCTTGAGACCAAGCCCCCTAATATTTTGGCGAACAAATCTGCAATCAGCTAACTTTTGCACATTTTACAAACTTGTATTCACCCTTCCAAAAGAACCTAGAATAGAGTTGGTTGATCCGTTTTATGATCTTATTTGAAAACATCACTTGGTTGTTATAGTAATCCTCAATGTTATATATGAAAACACGAATAAGATGATGTCTTCCAGCATACGAAAGTAGATTAGCTTGCCACCTTTGTAGCCTAGCAACAATCTTCTCAACCAAAGTAATACATTAAAGCAACAAGTTGTCAATAAAGCAAAGGTTGGTGAGTTTAACCCTAGGACACTTCAGGTGATACTGGATAACCCCATACTCAGTCGCTTTATCTAGTAAGTTCGATAAACATTCATAATGACCACAAAGAGATAGGGGACAAGAGATCCCCATGTCTAACCCCTTTTGCATCTTTTAAGAAACCAACAAGGACACCGTTCATGGAGATAGAAAATAAAATAGTGGCAACATACTCTCTAATCTAAGAAATCATCACATCAGGTATCTCAAGCGCTTCCAAAACAAGCAAAAATCTTCAATACATCGAATCAAAAGCTTTTACAAATCCAAGTTCAAAAACGTACCTTGGAGATAAAGATGAGCAATTATAAACCTTCAGTAGCTCTTGAGTCATAAGGGTGTTATCTATGATACTTCGACTTGGAATAAAGGAACTTTGGCTCCCAAAAATAACTTCAGGCAGAAACTTCTTTAGCCTAGCTATCATATTATAGCACAAGATAGGTTTGAAAATCTTGCATATGACTGGGATTAATCTTCTTAAAAATGAGCACAAGCGTGGTCGCATTAAAAGCACGCAACATTTTTAAGTGTTAAAAAGCGGGAAAACTACTGAAATGACCATCCAACTATGGGGTTGGTATCAAAATGACCACTATTTTTAAAATTACTTCAATATGACCACTGAACTATTTAATTGGGTTCAATGTAGCCACCCGATGTTAGTATTTAATGAAAATTCTTACACGACAATTAACAAATTTGATATAATTACATATTTGATATGTAGACACTCATTTTCGCCTGGAGTTATATATATATATATATATATATGCATATAGTAATATAGTTTGTGAAAATGTTTTGACAAAATATAATATATAATTTTCAGAAAACGATTTTCGAAAATTTATATATTATATAGTTTTTGAAAATATTTTTAAAATATAATATATAGTTTTGAAAATATTTTGAAAACATTTATATATTGTATAGTTTTTAAAACATTTTGAAAACTTATATAGTATATAGTTTTTAAAACATTTTAAAAATAAAATATATAGTTTTAAATTTTTTTTGAACAATTATATAATGTATAGTTCAAAAAAATATTTTTTTTGAAAAATTATATAATATATAGTTGTAAAAACATTTTTGAAAATTATATAATATATATAGTTTTAAAAACATTTTTTAAAAA